TTTCGACATCCAGAATCGAGCATATCAAATTTACTCGAATTAGTTGACGATCTGTTGCGACAATTCGACCAGGATGGCGATGATCAGCTGACAATCGAAGAGTTTTCCGAAGTGAATGTGGATGATGATGAAGATTTGCGCAGAAAATCGCTCATCTCACAAACGGTGGTGGAGAGAAGGGAGGAATTTAAGCGCATAATTGATAAGAATAACGATGGCAAAGCGGATAGAGAGGAGTTGTTGAACTATGTAAATCCGAAGACGCCACGTTATGCGCTACAAGAGGCGGCGACGCTATTCAGCTTGTGTGATGAAAACAAAGATGGGCGACTGACTTTAAATGAGGTGAGTGATGAGGAGTAGGCGGATTTAAATGATTTAGTTTTTAACAAAAAAAAAAAAAATTCCTTCTCTTTTCAGTTAACTGAGAATGCAGAGATTTTCCTTACATCAAAAATAATAGATACGGCTAATAGTTTTCACACGGAATTCTAAATGCAACACACACACACACTCAAGCATAAGAAGTTATACATATTTGTAAGCAAATAAAAATTAAATAGAACTGAGAATTGAAAATAGAACACTGCAATACAAAAATAAGTATGTAACCGGTTTACACAAAAGTCAATTTGTAGCAATAGTAAATTACGATTGTGTATTGCACTGTAGCGGAAAGAGCACATAAATATGAAAATTTTCTCGACATTTATTTATTTAATCTCGTATTGTATATTTTTTTTTATAGATTAATGCATTAAAAATAAGAATTTACTAAAAAAAAAATCAGGGACCATAACGGTTATGATCTTTATAATAAAAATCACAATTTAATCGTTGAAATTTTTATTTTTGTCGGTAAATTTAACTGTTACGTTATGATTTTAATTTTGTCGGCCAAGAATAATCGATATTTTTGTATTTTTATCTTTCCGATCAATTTTTGATCGTTATTTTTTATTTTTATTAGTATTTTTTTTTTATTATATTATAACCGTTATTTTCAGATTTATTTTTTAAGATCATAAAAAATTTAAATCTCATCATAACGGTTAAAAATTATCAAAAATATATATAACAACTATTTCTATCGAAAAAACACATAATAACGATTAAATTTGAAAGAAAAAATTAATATCCAAATTTAAAGAATATTCTTGATCGGCAAAATAAAAATTAAAAAATAACGATTTTGCAATGATCTAAAAATAAAAAGCGGTCTCTGAGAAAAACAAAAAAATATTTCCTTAAATATTTTGATATTTATGTTAAAAAATAATTCCAAATAAATAGCGTATTTCGAAGGAAGATCGTTAAAATTTCTTTACTTATGTATTTTACTCATTAGCCATATTTGTGTATAAAAGTGCGTTACTAATGCGTACATATTTACATGTTACTTAGCCTAATTCTGGGTTGGTAAAAATTATTATATTTTTTTATGAAACTCACTTCTTGTACATACAAAATTTACTTTTCAGTTGCAGTTTTTATCTTCCTGATATCCACAATATTTTTCGATGCGACTTGTAAAGAACTATTACAAGAAGTTTTCTTTTTAACTAGATTCCTATAATTGTGTTCATTTTCTTAATCTCCTTAAAATCATCTTAAAGCTTAAACAGACGGCAGCGTTAATCCGGATTAACGCGGACTTAATTCGGATCAACTGCAGTCAATTGCCGAGTTGATCCGGATCAACACTGCCGTGTGTTTATGCTTTTAGCCATACTCGGATCTGTTATCGGTTTCTTTTTTTCTAACGCTTTTAAAACCATTTCAAAATTGTTATCTTAATCGATAGTTGTATTGCAGTTTAAATGTCATTATTATACATATTTATCTATAACATATGCGTGTTCTGATAATAATCGATTTTTATCGTTATTGATATTGTTATCGACATCGCCATTGTTTTCGTTTTCGTTATCGTTTCTTATTTGGACAAGTACTTACATAAATCGTAGACAGATGACTATGCTCATTTGCATTAGAAGCCATTATTTGCATTAACTCGGGAATTATCCGCCTACAAATGGGCATTAGCTCGCTGTAAATATCAGCTGTCTGGCTGATCAATATCAGCTGTCTAAATGCACGACGATTTTCCGTCTGTCAGGGTGGAATTTTAATTTGCATATATTCTTCTTAATTCAGATTAACTTTTTTCGTCTGTATACCATTTTACATTCGATATTACTTTTTTTTATTGAAAATACTGGAATGATCATATTCAGGTTTTAGTCTGCTTTCCTCAACAATTTTCCGCTAATTTCCAAGTAAATTAATTCAATTTGTCTACTTCAAAGGCAACAAAGTTCCAAGCTGCTATGTATTTGGGAGCTCACAGCATCCTCTCATAGGCTTCTTTCTCGAATTTTATTTAATTAAGTTTTACGCTTTAATCACTTTCATTTCATCTCCTGCCAAATACGTAAATTATGCGCTTGTTTTGTTTAGGCCGACAACACTTGCTTGCCAACCCATTCTAACGGCTATGAATGAAAAATTTAACAAACTAAATAAATATTAGTGATATTAAATAATTTTTAGTGATTTTCTTGCATTTAATAAAATTATAAATTAATTCTAAAATGTGTACAATAAAAATACTCAGCAAGTATGTCAATTTTATTTTGTAAATCATAAAAATACGCAAAAATATAAATGTATTAAAATTAGTTTTAAGTTTTATTGGATAATATACTTTTAATAAAAATATTATTTTCAATATCTAAAATTAAAACCTGTACTTTCGGCTAAATTATTCATAGAGAATAAAGCATTTAAATTACGAGGGCAGTTTGATAAGTCAGTGGATTTTTTAAATTTCATTCGGTGTAACATTAATTATAACATTGCCGCTGTCAACTGCCAACTGTTAATGGACTGTTGTCAAATTTTGAGCAGACTATGTCTTTAAGTTATTGTCATTGAAAACAGAACAATTTGTAAATTTTCGACATGGTAAAAAATTTAGCTTCGTATGTTTATCAAATAATTTTTTTTTTTCAGAAAATTCGTAAGAAAAAGCTTGATAAATACTAAGCGGTTTCCGCATTGTCATCTTAAAGGTTAGGAAGTTGGTTTTTTGATTCCTATTGTGCCCCTCCCATCACAACTGACGAGCGTTGAGGCCAGCCAAAGGGGCCGGAGAATAATATTGCACTGTAGGAACATATAAAAGTGTGTTAGGCGGCTAAGGCATCCCAACTGAGTTTCCACGACATTTTACATGAATATTTCCAGCGTTTGCGTACCTTTGACTTTAAGCTAAAATGTGTGACCACTTCGATGTTAAACTGCAACCTAGACCAATATTTTTTATCAGTGTGGTAGCAGTGGACAAATCATGGATCCATCACAAAACACCAGAGACAAAGAAACAATCACAAGAAGGCTTTATTTTATTGACTTACTTTTTTTTAACTTTAATTTTGTCTACATTGCGTGATTCCAGTGCACTGTAGGTATCACAAATAGGAATGATTCTCAAACCTGCTTATAATATTTAATATTACCGATCAAATAGCTACATACGTGCCCACTGTCTCCAAAATTATGGAAATCAAATATTATGTCCTTTTGTATCTTCACGAAGTCCTCCTGCTTATCCGGGTTCCATGAGATGGCCAGACGATGTGCTCTGATGAACTCCTTGGCCATACCGCAGGTCATCTAGCTGGTCCTGTGTCCATCCGGGGCAATCTCTACAAACGCTGTTCATTGGGTTGTCTGCTAAGTAGCTCCGCAGGTCGACCGGTATTCAAAGTACTCTCTTCACGACTGAGGCAAAGGATGCCTGATTCTCGATATGAGTTATTTATCCAGGCACTCGGTTGGATGTACTGGCAACTGCAATGGTACGAAAAAGCGAGAGAAGAAAAAGAAAAAAACAACGGAACAAGGTAGGAGATGGCGGAATGATTAAGATTAATATTAACATTAACACTAAGCATTAGATTACGATTAAGATTAACATAAAAGTGAAGGTTAAAAGGAATATTAAAAGTAAGATTAAGATTAGGATAAGGATTAAAATTACGATTAAGACTATTGAGATTAGGATTTAGAATGAGATTAAGATAAGGATTGAAATTAAGATTAATATTAGGATTAAAATTAAGATTAAACTAAATTCGAAGATAAACATTATTACTGAAATTAAGATTGGGATTAAGATTGAGAATAAGGTAGATTTTAAAATAATGATTAAGACTGAAATTAAACTTAGGATTTAACTTGAGATTAAGATTAAGATTGGGATTAATATTCAGATTAGGATAAAGTTTGAGGCGAAAATGAAGATGGAGATGGCTTAAAAGCTTAGACAGACAGCAGCGTTTATCCAGATTAACGGCGCAGTTGATCTGATTAAAATGGTACCTTGACAGACGGCAGTATTGCGCATTAACGAGCCGCAAGGTCGTGTGTTCGAGTCCCACGGCCAGAGGAATTTTAATTTATTTATTTTTTATTCATTCATTTATTAGTTCTATACTTTTTACGTTGCTTCCAATTAGTTGTTGTTGACTTTTTTAATAAAATTAAACTCTAAAAATTTTAATTTACTTATAGTAAAATAAAAAAATTGATATAAAATAAAACAAATGAAAATAAAATAACGTAAAATTGTATATATATATAGTAAATCGTACGTTCTCCAAAATGCTAAATAACCATAAAACCAACAGCATTGAAAAACCACAAAGCTTTAACTTTTCATTTGAATCCAAAGCAACAGAGCGGCCGACTCATGAAGCTATTAATTTTTCATGCTTCAACCGAATCACCTAAAAGCTTTGCCAACTACTTTCTAGTTAACTGCTTAAAACGACAACAACAAACCGCGACTGCCGCCATCACCAAAGTGCATTTTAATTTTCTTACTCAGGTTTTAGCGAAATTGAATATATGAAAAATGCATGGCACACAAACAATTCCGAAGCTATCAAATGCAATTCGCAGCTCAATGTCATTTCAACTGCAATGAATGACGAATGAGAAACGAAAAACATAAAATGACGAAAAACGGAAAAAGTAAATAACTAAAAGAGTTGAGCAGAAAAGGGAAACAAACAAAAAATAGCCACCCGCACAAGTTTCGGTTCAAACCAAGGCAATGTATGTGCATACATACAGTATCGGTCATATCTATAGCACGTCATTTCAAAGTGATATTGTGTGCCACTTATGTTTACTTATTTATTTTTTAAGAATTTTCATTTAAAATACAGTTCTTTCTTTAATAAAACCCACATAAACCCAAGTTTAACAATTTGTCGAAAACTACAAAAAAGTGCAACAAATTTTCACCCAAATTTCAAACTTTTTTCTTCGAAGCGTTAGAATTTTTTTTGAATACACTGTTTTATAGCCCAATAGAGTTTAGCCTAATAATGTGCAAGTTTCAAGTGGCTAAAAGTCACCGTTGATTTTTTAGAATATTTTTCGCCAAAGGTGTTGCGGATTTCTTCCATAATATATGTACAAATAAATTTAGTTTATTCC